GCAAGAAATATTGAATGTGTGAATGGACACGAATGGGATAAACAATGGATCTCTGTGACAGTTTCCTGAGCAGGATGTCTCTCTCTTTTTGCAAGTGTTTTGTGTGAGGAGCAGCTGGTGGAGCCCGGAGACACCTGGGGGCACATGGAGGGATTCCTGAGACTCTCCTGCTTGGCCTTGGGATTCACCATCAGTAGCTACAGTATGAGTTGGATCCAGCATGCTCCAGGGAAGGGAGTGGAGTGGATCTCATACATCAGTAATGATAGTAATAATATAAACTATGGTGCCTTGGAAAAGGGCAAATTCACCATCTCTAGGGATAAAGACAAGAAAATTCTGTGTGTGCAGATGAGCAGACTGAGATTCTAGGACATGGCCGTGTATTGTTATAGTACCAGAGATACAGTGAAGGAAACCTCCATCAGAGCCCAGAAAAAACCTCCCTGCCTGGGTGCTCTGGACCAACAGGAGGCGCTCGAGACAAACAGCTCAAGTCTTCCCCAGAACAATCTAAAGTACTGTGTAAAGAAATGAAATAACACCACCATATAACCCGACTTAATAGTAGTTACCATAGTGTCTTTTTCCTTGAAATATTTGGATAAAACTTCATATACTCTAGCTTCAAATATTTTCATATCAAGAAGCACAGAATAAAGCCTTTCTAATTAATGAGTGAAAACTTTATAAGGCTTCAAGGCCACCTAATGGGGAATCATGATTACCACATATTTTTATATATTCGAATCATTACTTACATTAGGGAAACTATTCGGTATTCACACATGCGAGATTGATTTATTTCACTTATGAGTATGGTCTCAAGCTGCGCCCATTTATTGATAAATATCTCAATGTGATCCTGCTTTATAGCTGAATAATACTCCATTGTATAGAAATACCACAACTTTTTTATCCATTCCTCAGTTGATGGACACTTGGGTTGTTTCCAAGATCTGGCGATTACAAATTGTGCTGCTATAAACATAGGTGCACATATATCACTGTGGTATGATGCTTTCAGTTCTTCTGGGAATATGCCTAGAAGTGGAATAGCTGGAATAAATGGGATTTCCAGTCCCAACTTTTTGAGAAATCTCCAGAAAGATCTCCACAAAGGCTGTACCAGTCTACACTCCCACCAGCAGTGCAGGAGAGGTCCTTTTTCCCCACAGCCTCTCCAGCATTTGTTGTCGGTTTTCTTGATCCTGGCCATTCTTTCAGGAGTGAGATGGTATCTCAGTGTGGTTTTAATTTGCATTTCTCTAATGACCAATGATGATGAGCATTTTTTCATGTATTTATTTGCCATTTGCATTTCTTCATCTGAGAATTGCGTATTCATCTCAGATGCCCATTTTTGGATTGGATCTTTTTACAACAAAATTTACACATTTTGGATTTTATTACTCCTTAGTGCTTATTACTTTTTTGGGGGGGGGAAGAATACAGTCAAATATGGCAAAACAAAGCTGTCAGTCAATACCAAGGATAGACATAGCACATGGTGTAGAACAGAGTACAAGTTTATCAACAATGGTTATCAACGTTGTCCCTTGTTTCCTTAAAAAGAATCGTCTATCTCATTAGATATTATAAAGTTGGACAAAACAGTAGACAACAAGACCAATAAAACTTAGGCACTGTAAACATTACAGGACTTCCAAAGAAGACAATAGTCAAACCAGAATGGGTATCTTAGTGAATCTTATTGTCTTCAAAGTAGTTGCCTATGTCTTCAAACTTGATACTATCATATAGAATGGAACAGAGTCTAATCAGTCAAAACAAAATCGTGGGGGTACTGCAAGACTTCAAAACAAGTTAATAGGAAATCAAAAAGAGTTACTATTTATATATCCTAATTTTTTGAATTTTTTCTTTAATTAAGACAAACATAAGAAATGACTAAATAATTTTTTTAAAACAATAAGAGGGAGATTGAGATAAAACAGGACATAACAATATAACAATATGTTGTAAAAAAGAGAGGGAAAAAAAGAAAAAGAGCTCTAACGGATATAACAGCAAGTGTGTTTAGGGGTGTTAAATAGCTGACTATATCAATGTTTTTGGATCACTGAACACAGCTGTTTGCAGTCTCCCTGTTTGAATGTCCACCTTGTATTCTTTGATACTGTGATTTGAGGAACTATTTTCAAGATGATAATATGTAATCTACTAACAGGTGATTTCTTACTGTTATGTTTTTTTTGTTTTTTGTTTTTTTTTGTTGTTGTTGTTGTTGTTTTTTTTTTTTTGTAGTTTTGTATTACGTGTACCCTTACACCACTTTGGTTTGTTTTGTGTTTTTCTCTTTTTCCTCTTAAATAAAAAAAAAAAGAAATAAAATAACAAAGGCTGAGTAGAACAGGACTCAGCAGTCCTGAGTAGAAGAAATGGCTCTCCTACATTAGGGAAGTGGGCCAAGGAAATAAAGAAGAGGGCAAGAAGAAGCAGAAAGGAAAACAAGTAGAATAAACTTTTCTTGTGTAGCAGAACTAAATGACCTCAGTTACTGTAAACATTACATGGAATAACAGGAGCTCTGTAAGATTACCATCCACAGGAATGAAACATGGAATAGATAAATTGGAGGAGGGAGTTGAAGGTGAGGGGAGAGAGTTGGATGTAAAACAAGGAGCCAAGCTGTGGTGTGTGCACCTAACCGCTCCTCTGGATGACTGCGGAGTGCATGAGCTGCAAACATAAACATAAAGAGAGTGAGGTGAAATGTGGGGTCCTGTAAGGATTTGGGGCCTCTTCATGAAATATTTATCCCTGATCCTTCAAATTCGTATGTCCATTCTCAACTTGAAGTCTCACCCTAGTGATTGCTGTTTGGATAGAACATATTCTCAGCTGTGCAGAACTCACATTATAGTGGGTCAAAATGACTCTGCTGCATTGATCTGGCCCAGGTCCTGTGAAGCTCAGGGAACCTGGTAAAACCCTGGATGGAAGTTAGAGCCACAATGAGATGTGATCAGATTGAGCCCAGCAATAACCTTCACCTCTACAGGGATCAGGACCCACAGACCCTGCACCTTACAGCCCAGGGTTGTGCAGCACCTCAGAGGTAGCCGAGGAGCACTCAGGGTCATCATGTTGCCCAGGTGCCAGCCTTTCCAGGTCCCAACATAGGAGCAGCTACACATAGACTCTGGGGGGACATTAGCTGATGAGACCCTGGGTCTTCATACCCCTATGACCCACTTCCCTCTATGGAAGTGGAGTACTAATGGGGCTGAGAGTTTTTCATTACATATCTACATGGATGTTAGGCTAATAACGTTTTACAACTATAAATGAGTTAATCACTTGCAAAATTGTTTAACTAATTTACATATTAACAACGTCCCCAATTTGAAGTTAAGAAGGTCACTATTTGTAAGTATATGCTATTAAAAACTGCAACGACCATGCAAAACCATTGTAAACCAATTTTCTCAATGCCAAATGGACACAATCACCTCTCCCTGTCCATTCTTGAAAAACCCATTCCCCGACCCCATCAGGGGAGTACAGATCCATTTCTGCCTCTGAAGGTTTGCCATTTCTACAAAATATCTGTAAGAGTCTTACAATGCAGAAGTTTTTATCTAAATAGAGTTCTTAGTAAAATAATTTTAGTTGTTTGTATTTTATGCCACTTTCTAAGTTTGGGATACAAATTACAGGAAATACACAAACTACTTTGGAAGTGGAATTATTATAGTCCTTGAAAACTATGGTGAAAATGTTATCTTAGCTCATCTACTAGTTTAGTATCTTTTAATATTAACACAATGAATTTCTCATATGATTTTATCATTGTGTAATTACCCAGAATTTTCAAATTCTTAGTATAAACAAAATTTTGCAGGCTGATACTTATCAAAATTCTTCATGGTAAACATAACTTTCAAACTATCTAAAAGTATACCAATTCATGGAGGAGCATGAAATAATTTATGTCTACACATGAAATATTCCTCATCCATAAAGAAAATAAAATTTATATCTTTATGATTGCACTAACATTCATTAAAACACATACTTATAGACATAAAAAAATCCCTCCTATATGAACCTAGAGACATAAAATATCCACATTTTTCAAATCATTATATCCAGAAAATACTGTTACAATGTCCAGGTCTATGGGAATATAAACTACCAAGCCAAAATTGAGAAATATCCTACATTTTCTTACAGTGATGTATTTACAGATTGAGATAAATAAAAAGAATATGGATATAGTATGATGAGCAAGAGTTCAGGTTGAATTTTAGAGACATTGCTATTATGGGCATCATGTTCATAATACATAATTATTCAAAAATCAAAAGTATAATGTGATAAATATTTTTCAGTTGAAGAATAACTTCCAAGGAACAAGGCTAAAGCTGCATTTAGGAAGAGAATGAACACCAAGTAGATACATAAAATCATGTTGGTGCAGGAAAACATATGTTCACAGCCTCCTTCTCTACCCTGTGGATCAGAAACTACACTGTGAGGTAAGCACAGAACTCACAGCCTGATTTCGAATTTTTGCTTGCTCTGCTTATGTGGGACTTGGATCACAGGATGTCTTAGAGCAGGAGGTAGGTAGACCTCTCCTGACAACAGAATTGGCAGTAAAACACACTTTCATAACAGTAATGGAACTAAAGGAGAAAACCCAGGAGGCAAAAAGGAATCTGTGCTCAATTTGGTCCTAAGAACCAGCATGACAGCCTGGAAGGTCAGAGAGTTGGACTGGGGTACAGGAATGGAGAAGGACCAGGAAGAATCTATTCCTGGGATCAGGAATATGAGTACATTTCCCTGCTTCCTCCATCCTCTAAATTTGTCTTCTTACTTATCACAGAGTCAAACACAGCTGCAATTCAGAACAGGAGGTTCCTCTCAGTATCACAAAAGGACCAGACATACCCTGAGCTCAGGGTTCCCTTGATATAGAAACTGTGCTCAGTATATGCAAATGTCTCTACCAACTTTAGATTCATAATCTGCTCACAGTTTGTGGAACTCACAGCTCTATCCCCACACAGGGCAGAGGTCCCTCAGGAAGGCAGTGGTGTGGTCTACAAGATGAGACTGCTGAGTCTTCTCCTGTGCCTAGTGACTGGTCCCAATGGTGAGTGTCCTGAATACCAGATATGAGTCCATGGAAAGGTTACCAAAGCATCTGACTGACGGGATGGTTTTCATTGTTTCCAGGTATCCTGTCCCAGGTGCAGCTGCAGGAGTCAGGGCCTGGCCTAGTGAAGCCCTCGCAGGCCCTGTCCCTCACATGCTCAGTCTCTGGATTCTCCATCACAACCAGTTATTATGGTTGGCACTGGATCCGTCAGCCTAAAGGAAAAAGCCCAGAGTGGATGGGTGTTATAGCCTACAATGGTGACACTGGCTACAACCCGTCCCTCCAGAGCCGCATCTCTATCTCCAGAGAGACAGGCAAGAACCAGTTCTTCCTGAAGCTGAACTCTGTCACCGAGGAAGACACAGCCATGTATTACTGTGCAAGAGACACAGTGATTTGATGCAAGTGTGAGCCCAGACATAAACCTCCCTGTAGGGAAACTCAGAACCAGTAGGGGGCGCGCTGCACACACTGCTCTTGGGAACCAACTTCTTAGCCCTGTGCTGACAGCCTGGAGTTTTTTCAGTAGTCTAGGGACAGAGATTCTAGGGACCTCCTATGTCCCTGACCCTACAGTGATTTGTTTTCATGGAGTCAGGCTTTCATTCGTTTCTGCCTCAATTTTATTATTGATTGCACAGTGCATTTTCAATGAAGCTGTTTTTCACAGCACAAGTGATTACATTCTCAATAACTTTTAGATGTAGAAATATTTAACCATGAAAATTATTTCTCTGTTGACTGAAAGTCTGGTCTCCACCTGCAGGGTATCTCATCCTGAAAGTCACATTCCAATTCTGTTCATGTAGACTTTTACTCTGAATGGCTGGACATCATTGTGTGTGTTGGTCTGAGTGTTCATTGGTTACTGGATTTCTCCACTTTTGGCAAAGCAGGGCCATGCCTTGGAGAGTTGTGGTGGATTCCATCTCAGTGGGAGAGACCAACATGCTGTCACAAATCTTGCAGTCATAGTACACTGCCTGAGCAGTGTTTATTAGGACCTAGATTTAGTAGTTTTTAGTTTCAGAAACCCTTATGCAACGTCCTAAATTTCGTGTCTGTTTGTATTAAAAAGTGAATTTGCTATATGTACAGTAGCCTCAAAAATTTGGAAATCCTTGTCAGCTGACATCAGCATATTGTAAACACTGTTTATCACTTCTTCCTCATCTGTCAATTGACTTGGGGAGAGTGAGGAATCTGACCGTGGATCCATGGAAGGCAAGGTACCCACAGCAGAGTCAAGACTAGAGAGGAGACTGGGGCCTGCCAACAGAGGAACCTGAACTCCAAATATCTCTGGGCTCTCCTGAGTGTCTGAGGACAATACTGGACCTGATTAAGAGAGAGCTTTGGGATCACCCTGATTTGCGGATATGGGAAAATCCTTTTGAGTCAATTCCCTAAGATGCAAATCATGTCTCTGCAGGTTCAGATATATAACCAGTTGTTTATTCATGGTTTCAAATTACAAACAATTTTAAGTATTATCATGGAATCTGGTCAATTATTTTAATACAGTTATCTATACATCTTCCTATCATCTATTAAACTATTTGTCTATGTTTCAATCTATCCTCATTGCATCCATCTCTGTTCTGTCATATTTCTATTGACCCATCAACTCTGTATATTTGGCTTTCATTTATATATATACTGTGAATGTATTATTTATTCCCATACTTGTTATTTAACTTTTAACTTTGTTCCTTGTTATTTTCTGTCCTTCCTGCCTGTATCAACCAAAATTTAACTACTTTGTATCACTCTGTCCATCCATGCCTTAACTATTTTATCATCTGTCATTGATGGATCACCTATCATTGATGAATGCATCATCTGCTTATCTTCACTGCTTTTTAACATACATGAGACACAAACCTGTTGATATGTAATCTGTAAACATTGATATTCTTGATAAGGTTGTATAAGGCTGAGAAAATGGTATAACCAGTGAGACCAGTTTCCCTTGGTGTACTTGTAAAAAATTTTGACAGCTAGAGGAGAGGACATTTTCTTCAAAAAGTTGCATGACCTAAACATACGTCTCAGTCCTGAGTATTTGCTACACCAGAGTAAAATTTTTGATGTTCACTCTGCAATACCAATCTTGCAACACAGTGCAATGTGTGTATTGAAAACTAGAAGCAGTAAAAATGTGCTTTAAATTTCAAACAGGTGTACAAAATAGAAAGCATCCTTAGACTGATTCTCTCTCTCTCTCTCTCTCTCTCTCTCTCTCTCTCTCTCTGTCTCTCTGTCTCTCTCTCTCTCTCTCTCTCTCTCTCTCTCTCTCTCTCTCTCTCTCCCCCCATCACACGTACACAGATTTCCATATACCTATCCATTTCTTTTATTATTTTGAAGGTAGTAAAATGCAATAGAACAAGACAGAGCAAAGCCAATTGAGACAATGCAGTGAAACTGGTGCAGAAATTCACAGCAGGTTACTGGGAGAACAGTAATAGGTAGCATAGTATATGTCATTATCTTCATAATAGTTGTCCGTTCAATCAGGTATAGCAATATCTAACTTAATATAAAATATCATGAAACCTATCAAAGCAGAATATTGAACAGAGCAATATAATTAATCAGAGAAAGGCAAGACAGTGATAACAATACTTGCTTTCAAAGAGATGGTAGAAGGAAATCCCTGTATTTGCTATATTGCATATGGTCATCCTCCCAAGAGATGCTCAGACCTCTGGCTCCCAATGGTCAATGGGAGGAGTGGGATGTTTTATTTTCAGCCCATGTATCGGTAGGCACCTGGCCACTTTCCAGGGAGGCAAGTAGATTTCTTTGTTGCCCAGTGCCCTAAATTCCAACATGGCTTGGGTCTCGGGATATGTGGGCTGGCTGGTTCTCCATGGTTCCCTTGCCACTCGCTTGAGTCATGGCTGCTAATTGAGGTCAGTTCATGAACAAAATACAGCAACCCAAGCAGCCAATTTGATAAATTTGGAATTTAACTGAGCTCAGGACCATTCCTATAGAGACTCATCCAGTTCAGGGTTCAAACAAGAGGAACCCAACTGGAAAGTTAGATTTTTTAAAGAGAGAATCACAAAAGACATCTTATTGTAAACAATTTATCTCAAATCTTTCATTAATATTCGGTTGACACCAGTATCCTGCTTTTTTTGTTGAGCAGGTTAACTTTTCTCCTTTAGATACAGCTCATTTTTTTTTCTTTTTCTTTCATGGGATTTATACCCTGAATAATATTCCATTTTTTCTGAATACAGCGCACTAGTTAAGTGCAGGACTTAAAATGGCATCATTTATTTGAAGCTACAATATTCCCGACTGGTTTTAGTGCATGAAGCAAATCCTTGATACCTGTCATCCTTTTAAACTCAACTTTTTAAATCTACATTTCGCAGATCCTTGTATTAGCAATGTATAACCATTAATATTAATAGGTTGGACTCAGCTTTGCGTATAATGCATTAAACAATTTATCATACAAGGACCAAGGGTAATGACCAGTAGAAGAAAAATCAGGGATCTTCCCAGAACCAAGAGTAGAGTGATCAGCCATGGGATGGTGGAGAACAAATTTTTATTTCAACTCTGTTGATAATGTCTCTCAGTTTTTCTATCAGCTCGGCACTTTCTGACCTGAATAAGACTGTTTTTAAAATTAACAAGATTTACTAATGGCTAGGGATAGACTCTCCTGTTGCAAGAATAGGAGGTCTAGACCTCACCAGTTCTGAAGGACCATCTTAGCCAGGGAGTTTAGAGATGGTGATGAACATTTTGTTCCAGTGTGGTAGATCACAATCTATTTTTTGCTTAGTATTTGGTAATTTTGGTCTCCCATTATGAGGGTTGTGGGTCCTAGTACTGTGAAACCAGTTACTTCTAATCCTGAAAAGACAGGAACTAAAACCTTTTTTCTCATGAGGTTCAGTTACTGCATATGATTCCTCCCTCTTTCTCCAGAATACCAGTACACTTGGGGAAGGACATGAGTTAAGATACAGAGTTCAGGGTTAGATCCAATGAAAACAGGCATACAAACACAAGGCCTGAGGACATTTGTACAGGCAAATCAAGTTTACAGGGGCGAGGCTAAATGTTGGTGGATGGGGTAAGAGACATTTTGTACATACACAGCTGAGTTACAATTGATTAAAAATGGGGAGTGCTTCAAGGGGAAATTTACAGACTGAACACAAAGCTCAGAGAGCTGACTGTTTCCCAAAGTGTAGGACTTAGTTTTCTGTCCCCACCAGCATGAAGAACCAGAATCAAGGTTTGAGGTGTTTGCAATCTGAATTTGGTATTAGTTATATGTAGTCCACTTAGCTGGAGTCTCTGGTGTGGTGGGATCAAAGCGGGAGAGATGAATCCAATGGCTCTTTCTGGCAACCTTGATCACCATGGGAGTGCTCAAGAGGAATGTATAGTTTCCTTCCCAGTGGGCACCTAGGGATGTGGACTGTCTCCTTTAATGTAAATTTTGATCACCAAATTGAGCTGCCAGAGTTCATCAGATATTTCAGGAACGGTCTGGTGGCCCCAGAACAAGCAGCGAGTCAAGTAAAGAAAGGGCTAAAGAGACTGTCAGGGCTTAATAATTTTCCCATTCATGACAGCAGCCAATTTATCTTGTTGGACGTAAGGGATCAAAGAGGGCAGTTGGCTGTACATGGCTTTCAAAGGACTAATGTACTGGAGGTAAAGGGTACTTGGCACAAACAGAAGGGCAAAAGGAAGGGGGCTTACACAATTTTTGCCAGTGTCAAGAGCCAATTTTTAAATAGTTTCCGTTATGGTTTTGTTTGTTCTTCTACTTGGCTTGAATTTTGAGGCCGGTAGGCACAATGTAATTTCAAACGATTTCTAAAACTGCAGCTAAACTTTGAGTGATGAACTTCTGAGCTATGAAAGCTGGGCCATAATAGGACCCCTGGGAGGTGGGCAAACCGATTGAGGCACTATCTCATAGGGAAGTTTCTTAGCTATGATGAGAGCTGATTCAGTCCAAGTGGTGAATCTTTTAGTCCATCCAGTGAATGTGGCTATGAGAACTAAGAGATATTTATGTCCACCTTTTCCTGGACCCATTTCAGTAAATTCTGTCTCCCAGTGGTATCCAGGGGTAAGTCTTCATTGTCTCTTTCAAACATCAGTGGTGGCCAGCTTAGAGTTCATTTGAAGACGCTGTGGACATATTTGGATGATTTCTTTAGGCAGGCAAGATAATTTGGCCAATTTTGGTTCCCCCAAGTGAGTGGCCCAGTGGGTCTCCTGGATGAGCTGGAGGCCCAATATTCTGTCAGCCTTCCAGAAAATGTTAGGCTGCTAGGTTCTTGGATGTTCTCAGGTCTGAATCTGAATAGGATGATTTGAATCACCTCTCTGCCTGTTTAACACCAAGGG